ATATATATATATATATATATATAATAATAAAAATAAAATAAAAAAAACCGCTGAAATAAATAGGATTGGTCAAAAAATAAAATAAGTATGCATATTTGGGATGTGAGGAACAAATGCTAATTTGACTGTCTAAAAATTCATAAAGGAACCTGTTAGATTCATGTGATATATCATATAATCTATATGGACTCCAGATAACCTCATCATATATTTGTATATTAACATATTGCTGCTTTCTTACCATGCTTGTACTATACATGTCATTGAAGATAATTGCAACCAAATTCTCATTAAAATATAGTTATAAAAATAAAAAATAAAAAAAAATAAAGCAACCAACAGCAAGACTTTTAGCACAGGCATTGTGCATGCACATGTACTCCAGAAGGCGAAGATGGAAAACAAGTCCAACAAATTGCAGCTCCTATGCATACTGGACTGAGTTTTGAGACTTTAGCACATGCAATAGCAAGCAATTTATGGAAGTCTGATATCTACAATTTACAATTGCTGCAAAACATTTTATTGAAGAATCTAGCAATATTTTTTTTCCAAACCTAAGGTATAAAAAAGAGGCTAACCTCAAGCTCCTCCAAGCCCTCATTCGGGTGTAGATAAGCTGAACAAGTAGTTTCCTTAGACATAACTGGGACTTCTGCCACTGCAGGCTTTGAGTTTGAAGATTCCAGGTTGTTTTTCATGCTCTCTCCAGAATCTTTGACTAGGTTTCTATACTCAGTATCATCTTCAAGCTCTTCAGGTTCTTCCAGAAAGGCTTGATGTGCTTCATAAGGGCCAGACATAATCTTTTCAATGGCTAACTTTTCTTCTTCCTTAGAGTTACTAGTAGCTGCAAGTACGGGGTTCCCTTGTTGATTGTTTGTCACTGATCCATTGGTCCCAATATCGCCAGAAGGAATCTCCCCTGGAGATTTCAGACAAATTTTCTCGCTCTTCTGTCCAACCATACTATTGACTTCGGCTTCATCAAATTTCATAGAACAAGAACTTGAAGCACTAATAGGAGTTCTATCTTCATGAACTTCCCTGCTGGGCAGAGGTAGAGATATAGAGGGCTTGGAATTCTTTGAGTTATTATCCATGTCCTCTGATCTCTTTCTCTTCCTTGCATCATCTGCTTCGACTGCAACTGCTTTACCTCCTTGAGGTTTTTCGGCTTGACCATGGCCGGAGCTCCTAAATTTGGAACTTTGTTTATTCTCGTTAGCTACTTTTGACGGACAGGAAGGCCGCACACCGCCAGGGAATATGTAGTTAGGTATGTTGCGGCGTTTCACATGGGACACATAGATATCCATTCCAGGTTTCCATAGAGTGTAAGCATTGACAGAATGCTTAAACTCTTCGACAGTTAGCCTTATATCAAACTGCTCACCATCATTCACTGGAACTCCTTGCTTACGCTGCAGACCCATAAAGTAACAGTGGTGAAAAGGTCTAGATTTGTCCGAGAACTCACCAGGATGTGGATGACATTGAAGCATACCAAAAGTGTGCCTCTCGATCTAGAAGTTTAAAGGACAACCAAATTAGTTATATATGAATTAGAAACAGATAATACAAGTCGCATGCAACAGCTAAGTAGGAAATGATGAAAATGTGACAACAAACAATAAAAGATTAACTTTAAGTGCTATACCTTCAATGTCAACTGACGGAGTCGAGACTCAACCCAGCCTTTCCATTGTCTAAGGTCATCTGCATTCTCCGCTGTTATGTCTATCTGTAGATAGTTCTTGTAAGATTCAAAAAAGGGATAAGGCTCAAAAAGAGTATCCCAATCAGCCTTGCTAGCTTCCATGGCCTACAAATATAATGAACATAAAATTGAAGCAACCCAAATATCATAATAAAAAATACAAAAGGCAACTACTTAAAAATTTATAACAAACAAGAATTAAATCCAAAACATATCAAAATTCCCACAGGAAACTGTTGCTTCCCCAATAATGTTATTCAATTATTTCAATCTATTGAAAATTCAACCAACCAACATCCAAGCCTTATCTTATCTAACATAGATGAACAATTACACCTATAAAAACTTGCTGGTAAAAGCATATTATTTTGGTAGAAATATAAACCCATCTATTACCTATAATTACCAAAACTTGCTGTCATGGAACACATAAAAAACAGAGGAAGAACAGCGCATGTGAAAGAAGTAACTAAAAGGAAATTATCGTGTTGTCAAAAGATGGGCCAAACTAGCTAAACAAATAAATTTAATTAAACTTAAACATGTAGCATAACTTCAATACACTGCCCCACTTCCAAATCATCTGATCATGGGAAATCTAACTTGAAGGCCCCATGTCAAACTATGTTGGGACAATGATGCAATACCCTACAGTTAATGGGATGAAACAAGAGAAAAGGAGAACCTTGAACAAAAATTATTTCAATTTTCAAACTTCATATACACTGTACTAGACAACTTAAATTTGCCAAAATGAAAACAATTTTGAAATCATCAAATCATACCTCACATATGTCACTTCCCCTCTGAAACTCATCTGACATAACACGCAATGTACTTGCTGTCACATTGTAAGTAGAGTTCATGCAAGGATAAGCAGGAGTAATTATAGGCATTAGATGATATCTATCTTTGGGATTTCTTCTGGGATCCCAAATTGGTAGTCCAAGAGATCCTTCTTCAATAGCACAAAGCATGACCGGATTTGGCCATCGCCATTGAGTATATACCCTAAAGAATCGAGACACTAACATATTAGGTAGTGCATTAGGATATAACTGGCATATTCGAGCAACAAGCAATGCCAGGTTTATACCACCAAGAAAACCAGCAACCTGCCCATGAAATAGCAAGAAGATGCATTAGGAAGATTAGTACAACATATATAGAGTAATGGTGAACGAGTTCAGAACAACAAATAAGCCACATCCTGGCAGTTATGTCATACATTTGAATAAACACCACGGCGCTTTGCCCAAAACCTCATGCATCTCAATGTTGTGCGAAAGGTCTGCACTTCAGAAACAGAATACAATCAATGATCAGAATGCTATAGAAAAGCTAAACACAAAAATCTAACGGAGTATAAATTTCATATGCACATACACCACCTGAATATTTGGAACCAATCGCAGGACCTGATCAGTTACTCTACAACCATTAAGACTAAGAACAGTTTGTTCATCAACATTTTGTAATATAGATTCCTGTGATATATCCAAGTCCTGCCCAAAAAAACCATCATTACTAAATGATAAACAAAAGGTTAGGTACAATTTACACTTTAGATTCATAAAGCCTGAACAAAACACATGGAGGGAGGGAGATGCATGCATATCTGTAGAAGTTTCAATTTCAAAGGAACTAAGGGTCTGTTTATTTCCTGCTTTTGAAAAAAGTTTTCCATTTATCAAAACAAAAGAACATGATAAGAATAGTTTATTCAAAAATGTTCTCAAAACTAATATCACTTTTTCAGTTTTTAAAATTAAAAAACCAGAAGATCTCTAAGTTGTTTTGTTTTTACTTTCAGTTTTCTATAACTCATGTTCCTTGCAACCACACATCTTTTCTACTCTAAAAATTAGAATTTAAAATTTGTTTTATAAATTAATTTTTAAAATCTAAAATAAAAAAACACAATCAAATAGACCCTAAATGTTCTATGATCTAATTCAAAAACTAATGGTTGCTTCTCTAAAATACCAAGCACTGATGGAGAAAATATTAATCATTAATCCAGTAACATTTCAGGAAATAGAATACGATGCTACCAAAATGTCATTTAAAACACCCAAAAACAAATTTATTTTTGCATAAGATAGACAGGAACAAGAGAAACAAGAATTATACCCAAAACAAATTTATTTTTGCATAAAATATAAATCACTTACTTCAGGAATAACCCACAAAGCTAATCTTGCATACAGGAGATCAACAGAAACTCCATTAAACTTGAATTTCATCACAGGGACATGAGCATCAGGCACAGGGTGCAATTCTGTTACTTCCTGCATCTCAGATAGCATCTTCTGTAGCTCACCAAAGAAATCGTCCTGAGGCCAAATTAATAACTTTAGCTGATAGGAGATATGACCTGAAAAACCTATATCTACAATTTTACACAATAAAATCACAAGAATTATCATACATCTCTGGTTGCATGTCTAGGTCCCACACAGAGGGTATCTATATCAGCTCCAGGGCCATGCACCTACAAGATTTGGAGTGAAAACTTCAGAAGAATAATAAACAAAAAAATATTGTGATATATTGGATTGCATAACCAATGATCTCAGTTTTGGTCTTAATTTCATATTGTTTCTCAGCCCTTCACACTGCCTCTGAGAAGAATTGTATTTGTCCCACTCCCACAACCTCAGAAGACTCTCTATACCCAGTACCAAGGTTTTGAGAAACAGACGAAAAACACTCAATGGAACTGTCCAAGTGCAAAAGTGCCTGTTTGCTGGTGTTGGAATCTTTGGCTTGAATGTAATGCTAGAGACTTATTCTTGTTTTCTCACTTCATCATAGGTCAAAGCTAATGGTTTCTCACAGAAGTTTCTATACAACAGATGATCATACTTGTGAAATAAACAAAGGATTAATGAATGTATTGTTTTCTTCAAATCAGTGATTCACCATCCCAGTGCATTTGTAACAATAACAAAAAGAAAAGAAGATAGGCAGATCATCTGAACAAATTAAATTACCAAACTGAAATGGTAAACAGTCTTCACTCTTCAGGAAAAACACACCATAAAAAGACCAACAATTAATGCAACTTATTCTCTGGTCAAGCAACAAACTTAAAACATCAAATTATCAGCCCGTAAATTACATAAAAACCTAAAATGCATACAACCAAGTTCAAATAATACATGATTTGATTATATTACTCAACAGCATGTTCGGGAAAAAAATAATTAAAAAAAATCTATTTTGACATTATGAGGTTCTATCAGATGTAAACACAGCAAAGATGATATCATCTAAGGATGCCATATGAAGACAATGCAATCCTAACTCTCCATGACACATGCTTTCTCCAGCAGGCACTACATGGTCGGATACAATAAAAATAAAAGACAAAGATCCTAGTGTGTATATGCACAAATGAGGAAGATTTGAAGATGAGAATAGCACCATACCCCTAGTCGATAAGAACCAAAGGTGAAAATCTTGGCATTTGCCTCTTGCACCAGTTGTTCATTGAACCCCTTTGCACGGCTAATGTTCTTAACCCAAATCTTCACAATCTGATTCATATCACAACAGCACAATCAAAACAAAAATATTCATTGGGATGTCCGCTACATATCCAAGGGCTTTTTCTTTGGGTGGACAAAATGTTTAGGGTGAAGGGAGGCTCTCCTAGTCTACACTCTACAGCTACATTTCGAAGACCTTATGAAGCAAAATTTACTAAACATAAATAAATTCAACCTGATCCAGCCTGCCAAGCACTTCCTCCCTACCCACAGCCTCCTGCTGACTCTCATACAATCCAACACCTTGCAAATACTGCACAATCAGAATACAGATTCAGCATCAATTAATACTTGGAAAAGCTCCAAAGTATACACATATATGAATTCAAAATAAGTGCAAACAGAACCTTCTCAAGTTCACGAGTCTTGATCACATCATCCTCAGTTGGACCAGCCAATGAAATGGGCTCAGTTATGCCTAATCTTTGTTGCCCATTATTGTGATTGTTCAATCCAGGCATCCCCATGAACAAACAGTTGACACAGTTGTTTTTTCCTTTTTTTTTTTTTATTAAAATTTTTTGTTTCAACAATAGGCAGCAGCTGTGAGAGTTATCAGTTATTGATGATACTTTTCAATTTTTTTCCCAATAAAATCAAATAAAAACAAAATCATAGTCCAGAAAGAGGAAAAAAAAAAAAAAAAAAAAAAAAAAA